CTTTATCTAACACCCACATGCAAAACTCAGTTCGGTTTTCAAAATCATTTCCATAAAGTTCTTGGCAAAGCTGAATTTTATAAGGATAAAAGTTGGGCTTTTTGATAATTCTGGAAATACTTGATTGACTAATGTTAGTACTTTTGGATATTAGATTTGGACTAACATTGGGATTTTCGATAACTGAACCAATAACGGTGAAAACATTTTCTTCATCTTCAGGGACAGATTTCCCTGCAATGGGTTTTTTATAATTGACACTCCCAGTTTCCTCAAATTGGTGTAATACGCGCTTAAAAACTGTTGGCTTAGGATGATTTCTTTCAGGAAACTTTTGAGCATAAACTCGAGAAGCCAATAAACAATTTTTATGACATTCTCCAAGGGTGAAAATCATGCCTTCTCTTGGATAATTGTTCATTTGTACTTAGCAACACAATAATAATATTAAAATATCGACCAACACGTCTACAATTTCAAAAAACAACACCACTCTAGCTATCAAAAAGAGACTTTGCAGTCTAAACTGACAAATAAAATAAATGATTTGACATGTGTAAATGGCATAGTCAACTTAGATACATTGGAACCTTAAATTAAACAACACCAAATGGTGCACAGAACGACTATTTGACGTATTTTGTAAAAAGGCAAAAACTTCGCTATTAACATCCTAATACCATTTGATAGGTAATTAAAAATTGCATTTCCTGGTAAGTTAAAAGATATGGGGTTGTATTTGAATTAATCAAGTTAGAACCACTTAAAGTTCTTATTTGATTAGTTTAAATTTGTGGACACCCTGTATAACATGGTAAGTTTATTATCATTGGGATATAAAATATTATATCTTGTTACACTTCACTATAAATTACGCTTACATAACTTGAATACTTCTAAAGTATTTGACACGTAAAAATTAGATTAGATTTTGATTAAATTCGTATTATTTAAAAAACCTTAAGATTTAGATATCATAAACCTTATTAAAACAGACACTTATTTTGCTCAGAGAATCCAAAAATGCAATAATATATAGCGTATTTCATTTAAAAAAAAAAACTTTGATACTTTCAGAGCCTTTGGGACACCCTGTACATTACAAAAATATTTTTAAAATGTGCGCTCGGTAGGCGTCGGATAATTCATAAAATAATACTTTTTAAAAATCAAACGGTTTAGCCGCAAACTTCCGTGCCGTATAGCGTGAATAACCCTGTATATCCAGAGCGTGGATCAAACGGCCACGGATTTTCGGTAGAATTTCTTCCTGACGTTTCGCAAGCACGAGTGGCTTGCATCTTCAGAAGTGGTTTGCTTGAACGCTTCCCTCCCTTGAAGCCACTCGTGCTTGCGAAACGTCAGGACGGTCTAAAAACCCGAAAAACCCATTAGTTTCAACACCGTATTTCCGATATTTTCCCGACATAAGCAAATTAAGTACTCTTTAAACTCTCATTTTTTTTTAGATAATGTCCTACTTGATATTTATAAGCTCGGTGACGTTAATGGTGGTATCGATAGTAACTGGAGCGATTTTTTACAACCCATACTACCAATACGACACTCTTGATGCGGCCGCATACTCAGCTTTGCATAGAACTGTTTGGTCAATTGGTAAGTTGTCTTCAGTTATTTGGCCGCTCTGTTTTTCATCGAATGCTTTGCAGGGAGCATTGGAGTCTTATACGTTGCCAGCTATGGGCAGCTTAAGTGGGTCTACTGCTTCCTGGCATGGAGGCCCTGGATCCCACTAAGCAAACTGGTCTATGGTGCTTATTTGATCCATTTCCAGATACAAATGCGGGCAGTTGCAAAGAAAGGCGCGGCCGATGTTACGTCGTATTTCGATATTGTGAGCTCCAAACCTCTAGTTTTCGCTTCATTGTTACTCAATCCATTTTTTTTGTAGATTAGTTTGGCCCTTTCCGACATAGTGCTATCATTCGCAACCGCTTTCTTGCTTTACTTAGCCGTTGAGGCGCCCTTCAGAAACATCTTTGCCATACTGTTTTTCCCACCAAAGGACAACAGGAAGAGCCACATGAACAATAACAACAACAAGGAGGAAAACGTAAGCGAGACCACCAGTGATAGTCATTTGTAACCGGACAATAAATCCCTTAATTAAGCGTAGTTAATTTAACATAGCAATCAATAAGGCTTGATTTTATTTAATAGAGGTTTAGAGATTTTGGAAAAAAAGTATATTCGAATGTCTTCTGGAATGCGATTCAAGGCATACAAAAATGTTGGTTTTTTCGGATGATATTGTTCAGACAGAATCTACTAGTCAATGTAAATAGTAGTTAGGACCTAAACTTAAGTTAATGTAGCATTTGCGAGATGTATTCGTTCGATGAGTATATTTTTGTACGAAAATCTAATAAAATTTGTAAAGTTTTTTGTGCAATCCCCAATAATGATCGACTTCAGTGATCAGTGGCAACAAAACAGAGCAAAAAAGAGGTGTTTTTAATATTGAATAATACACATTTAGGTGCAAGGAAGGGTCAAATTTACATACCACACGCCGCCTTTTTGATTATTTCTCAGGAGCCCCAGAGCTTTTATTTCATTTATTGTGTAGGGGTGGCCGATTAATATCACTATATTTTTCCAAAATACAATCTGACTACTACGCATCATAGATCATAGAACAAGGCTTATCATAGATAAAGACAAGCTACGCATAAAGTAGGAAAAGTACGATTCACCAATTCTTGACGTGTCAATGTCAGAAAGTAATATCCATAGCATAGAGTAAGTAAAATAAGTAATAAATATTTTACTTTCTCTATGATCCATAGATGAAGACAACCCTGCCCATACCCAACTCTGTCATATCTAACCCCAAAAATGGCGGACTCCTCTTCTCTTCGCTTAAACGTCTAAAATGGGCCCGACCATGTTGCCATGCAATCCTATTACACTCACAACCTTAGACAAGGAAAGAGAGTTTCTTTCCTTTCCTTGTCTAAGCTCACAACACTGCTGCCATACAAAGCTACTGCAATTGCTTTCAAAAAGTGAAACACCGCTTGGAAAATGCGGGTAGCTTTTACGCGAATGATTATAAATTTTCGCTTTTTCAGTTCGGGAAAATATTTTTGGAATGAGACCTCGAAATTACTATTAGGGTTTTGTCCATAATTTAAAGATGCAGAAAGTTTTCCAAAGATTTTTGCAAAGCCGTTAAGGAGGCGAGTGTTCCAATAAAATTTATCTTATAATTTTTCACAGAAAATATCCAGTATTTTAAGTAAAACTGAAAATAATGCGACTTTTGCGTAGAAAGAATTGCTTAAATAGAAACTTTGTTAAAACCGGAATGACCTGAAAATTTAAAGGAACTTTAGGAATCCTCAGAGCGATGAGGGCGGCGAATTTTCCCAACATTTTTTTGTAAACTTTTGCTCAGACAGTCCGAATTACTTTCGGTAAAAACTGAATAAAATTATTTGGTTTTGTGGCAAGTTCGAAGCTGAAAAGGGTTTTGTAAAGTGCCCTGCAAACCGATGAATGGGGCGAATTTTCTAGCAAAATTAATTTTGTCATTTTTGACTGAAAACCCTATTATTGGCAGAAAAGAAGAAAATCATCAGAAAATAATGCTTTTTTGCGTTTTCGATTTTAAACTATTAGGTTTGTGATCGGTTTTTGAGATAACCTTGATGGTTTTCGGGAAAAAACCGGGAGAATTATTTTGGTTTTTGTCCCGAATTCGACACTGAAAAAAGTTTTTGTTCATTTTTTACAAAGCTATAAATTTATCTTGCAATTTTTCGCGTAAAAGCCCTCCAGATCGTCAGTATTTTTAGGTAAAACTCTACAAAATAGAGCGTTTTTGAGTAGAAAGTAAAGCAAAAAAAATGCAGTCAAAAATAAAAAAAACAAATTTTTTAACAAATTCTTCAGTCTTCAGAGGAATCGAGGTGACAATATTTCCAAATAATCTGTTATAGACTTTCGCTGATTCTGTTCGGTTTTGGATTGAAATTTGTGATTTTTGTTGCTTTTGAGATTGCAAAAGTTGTTACAAAGCGACGAAGAATTCCAAATTTATTTCATAATTTTTCGCGAAAACTGAAAAATGATTGTCAGCATTTTTAAGTGAAACTAGAAAATTGAGCAATTAGAAGAAAGGGTAACTTGGCAAAAACTGGGAAATTTGAAGACATTTTAAAAATATGATTAATAAATGGCTTTTTAAATTTTCAGTTCGGGGAAATATTTTTGGAAGAAAACCTCAAACTTATTATTAGGGTTTTGTCCATAATTCGAAGCGGCAAAAAGTTTTCCAAACAATTTTGCAAAGCGGTTGAGGAGGCGAGTGTTCCAATAAAATGTATCTCATAATTTTGCACAGAAAATTCCTGAAGAGTGCCAGTATTTTAAGTAAAACTCAAAATAATGCGATTTTTGCGTAGAAAGAATTGCTTGGTAGAAACTTTGTTAAAACCGGAATCACCTGAAAATTTAAAGGAACTTTAGAAATATTCAGAGCGATGGGGGCGGCGAATTTTCCCAATAGTTTTTTGTAAACTTTTTCTCTCTGGTTGTTTTTTCAAGGCAGTCCGAATTACTTTCGGTAAAAAACTGAATAAAATTATTTGGTTTTTGTGCCAAATTCGAGGTTGAAAAGGGTTTTGTAAAGTTCCCTGCAAACCGATGAATGGGGCGAATTTTCTAGCAAAACTAATTTTGTGATTTTTAACTGAAAACACTTTTATTGTCAAAAAAGAAGAAAACAATCAGAAAATAATGCTTTTTTGCGTTTTCAATTAAAAACTTTTAGCCTTGTGAGCGGTTTTGGAGAAAACTTTAATGGTTTTCGGGAAAAACGGTAGAAATTTATTTTCCTTTTTGTCCCGAATTCGACACTGAACTAAGTTTTTGTAAATTTTTTACAACGCCATAAATTTATCTTGTAATTTTTCGCGTAAAAGTCCTCCAGATCGTCAGAATTTTTAAGTAAAACTCTACAAAATAGAGCGTTTTTGAGTAGAAAGTAAAGCAAAAAAAAATCAGTCAAAACTAAAAAAACACATTTTTTAACAAATTCTACAGTCTTCAAAGGAATGGAGGTGACGAGATTTCCAAATAATCTGTTATAAACTTTCGCTTATTCTGTTCGTTTTTTGATAGAAAATTGTTTGATTTTTGTTCCAGATTCGAAGCTGGAAAGGGATTTCAAAAGTTGTTACAAAGCAACGAAGAATTCGAAATTTATTTCATAATTTTCCGCGGAAAATACCTTAAGATTGTCAACATGTTTAAGTAAAACTAGAAAATTGAGCATTTAGAAGAAAGAGTAACTTGGCTAAAACGGGAAAATCCTGAAATTTGAAGACATTTAAAAAATTGTATTAATAAATGGCCTTTAAAATAAATCTAAAAAAAGTAAAAAAAAGTCATCAACATTTTTCCAGCAACGGAACTGAGTCACTGCACCGGTGCGTTGGGTTGGCGCACCATTTGCGCCACACTGCGCCAACTCCTAAAAATACACTGAATCACCCAGGCCTAGTAAATAGTGGTAATTTTCACACAAGACGCGTAAATTGAATTGAACGGCGCTGCTATCGGTCCGCAAATGGCCAAAGACTGTCTGCACCAAACTAATTATTAATAAATAAAATAAAATAAATTTTCCAAAATTAGATCAAGCTTGTGGACACAGGCTACTGCTTAGTAGGCTCTGTGCGCCTGGTGCCTAGATAAAGAGGAAACAACACCAAGCGCTTCCAAGTAACTCTTCAAGGCGCTTTCAGCGCGAAAATTCCAGCAACTTTCCATGCTAAATTCGCGCAACTGCTGCATATAAAAGCAACTAGCTGCGTGCCAAGATCAATATTTCCAGTTCCTTTTACACGAAAACCCGTTTCAGAAGTGTACGCGCGTCACTGAAAGATAACCAAAATCGCTCCGACTTATTTATCTGATTGCCCATTCTTCACTATAACAGTACTTAAACAACACATATTGAGTGGATTGTTCCGTTCGCATGCTTGAAACAAACGCGTCCAGTGTTCCAGTACTGAATTCGATAAATCAGTGTCCGTAAAACGTTTGCGAAGCATGGGTGAAGCGATGTTGGTAAATGGTCTGAGGACCATTCGAAAGGCGAATTCAATGGGTTTCGACTCAGATAGCAATGAGGCGGATGGGGAGCCGATATCAGCTAAGCAAATTTTAGAGCAGAGAATAGGTTAGTGACCTATTTTGTATTGTGCATAATTTATCACAAACTAATTAACCCAAACTGCCGTGTCGGTGGCTTTCAGAGGTGAAAAGACAGCTAAAAATAGGTTCTATTTGCATTTATGTTTAGTAGCAACACAAGCGTTCAGGGTTACTGGATTTTAAGCGCAGAATGGGAACATTTCCACGCAAGGCTCGGTTTTTCCGTTCAGTTTCAATCTCGCTTTATCTTAGTAACGATGCTTCATACTTTATTGAAACTTCCTAATGAAAGGACGAGTCGAACACCAAAAACACCAAATGTTGCCCATATGTTTTGATGTGGAGTAATATAAGGACAGAGCGCAAACACCCTTTGAAACAATGCACTTTCTTCCTGATGCTTAGGGAAAATAAATTAGTTGAGCACGAAGTGAAACATCTATTATCGCTTCTATGGGCAAAATAAGTGGCAACGCCGCCTTTAGTTGAGTTTCGGAAGTGAAATAAACAACATGCGAACTGGCTATTCCAAGTCCCATGTTGAACTAATCGAAAACGAATCAAATCGTCCAGAAAGTGGGATAAAAAACAACTGAAACTTTATCATGACAACATGTTTTCCCCAGTTATTTACTGCAGATTGCTATCTTAGAGCGTGATCTAAATATACGAGTACTTAACATTTACACACACGTTCGAAGTCTACGATAACTCAGAAATCATCTAATTTGTCTTGCCAAATCGTCTGCAAAATGCTGCGTTTGCACTATTTTTCCCAGTTCATGTGCTAAGGCTCTATTTGTTTAATCGACACGGACTCGACTCCCAGGCTAATAATAATTATTATTATCATAATGGGGAATTGTTATTGGGCCGTTATCTTTATAACCTGCTCAGGACACCGTTTACGATATTGGCAATGAAAACACAGCTGCAGATAATTTATTATTATCAACAAAAACTTATTTTGAATTGGTAACAAATTTGTTGAAAACTCCTTCGCGTTGGTGCGGTTGGACTTAACCGTGCTCGGTCCAATGGGAGCGCACAAAACTGCTACATGTGACTGACTCGGGCTGCTTGGCGCAGCTTATTTGCGCCATAGATTTAAATATTTTACACTTTGGCTTTGACTGGAATTGACTTTAGGGCTAAAATAATTTACTTTGAAATGCGACTGAAGGAATCCTTTAACCAGCAATCCGTCACAAGTTTCTCTAGGTTAACGACGACATTTAACATCAGTTGTCAACTAAATCAGCAAAAAATTTATAATGTCGAAAAGGGGCATAGTTGCTGAAGACACAACATCCGAGGAAAGTTATCAATTGACAAGTAAGTTGAGGGAAACAGCCAAAGATTTGAATGCCTGAAACAATCGATAGAATATTAATTTTTTATAAGGATAACAACAAATGACTCAGATGGCTGCATGCCATTTGAATTAAACATTTGCTTTAAATGCAAATCGAATTGCCAACAAATAAGCACTTGAGCGGCAAAAGTTGCATATTTGAATCGCTGGCTTAAGAAATAAATCAAATTAATTCCTGGGTTTCAGTCATTTATTGTCTCTATTTATCAATCAAAATACGTTTCGGTGTATTTTTCCACCATCATCAGTTTTTATGTGTAGCGTTGTTGCTGCTTTAAGCCTTGGCA